TTTAAATCTGTTTACAACCTTTTACTGCTCTTTTCACATTTTGTTCTGCTTCAGCTTCTTTCAGCTTCCTTGTGCAAATTTAAACATTTTTCAGCTTCTTTCAGCTACTTTTAGCTATTTTGTCAGCTGTTTTGTGCTCCTTTCAGATTTGTTCTGCTAACTACAAAATTTTCGTGCTTCTTCTTTCTTTCTCCTAATTTCAGCTTGTTGTGCTCCTTTCAGCTTATTTCTGCTAGTTTCAGCTTTTTCCACTATTTTAGCTACTATTTAACTATTTTATAGTAATTTTAGCTTTTTCAGCTAATTCCACATTTTTTACACCAATTCCCTTTTCAGCCTAATTCAGCAAAAATGTGCACTCTCCACTTCCTTCTTGTAATTTCAGCTTCTTTCACTTTTAAGCTGCTTTTCAGCTGTTTTTACTAATTTCAGCTTTTTTCAGAAAATTTCCACTTTTTTGTGCTCATTTCTTCTTCTTTCAGCCTAATTGGGCAAACGTGTTCTTTCTGCTTTCTTCTGCTAATTTAAGCTTGTTCTGCATTTTCAGCTACCCTTTTGTTTTGTTTTTTTGCCATTTTAGCTAATTTCAGCTGTTTTCAGATAAATGCAAGTTTTTTTGTGGTGATTCCTGTTACTTTCAACCTAATTAACTTCTTCAGTGTAATTTTAGCTAGTTATGCTCCCTTTAGCTTTGTTCTGCTAGTTTCAGCTTTTTCTGCTATGTCAGCTACTATTTAGCTATTTTATGCTAATTTTTGCTTTTTCAGCTAATACCATATTTTTAGCTCATTTCTGCTCTTTCCACTTCTTTCTGGTAGTTTAAGCTTTTTTCTGCCTTTTCAGCAGCAGTTTTTTTGTTGTTGTTGTTGTTGATTTCAACTTTTTAAAGTTAATTTACTAATTTTTGTGCTCATTTCTGCTTATTTAAGCCTAATTCAGCAAATATGTGATATTTCTTCTTTCTTCTGCTAACTTAGGCTTGTTCTTCCATTTCAGCTATATTTCAGCATGTTTATTTTTAGCTAATTTCAGCTGTTTTCCAGAAAGTTCTTCAGCAATAAGCATTCACACCGTATTTTTGCAGGAAATGCTATTTCTTTAATAATTGTCCTACCCAATAATGCAGATAAGAATCTCGAAGTTTCCTGAAAACATAAACACTCTAAAAGTGTTCTTTTCTTGCTCTTGCGTTCCTGAGCGTGACATAATCAAACAGTCACAGACTGAACCTCGTTGCGCTCCCAGTACCTCACACACTGATGTTTGTCAAAACCCCTTGGCATCACATTGGAAATCACTAGATAACCTCTGGCATTTTTTATTCAACATGCAGAAAGAACAGTGTGAGGAGTGTATTTTAAGCCCTTCGCATTACGTGATAACCCTGGAAATCCAGTAACGCCGTGTTTTACACAAGCATGTCATATTTTCTTCTCTACGGGTATGGAATAGATTAAACCTTCCCCTCAATGATCAAAACAGAAGTGTTTTGGATTCCAGCTTTAGTTCTTAAGAGTCTAAAAGTGGATTTGGACATTTTTGATACTCTCTGATGGTAAAATCTAACTAATCTACCTAACTGGATCATAAAATAGAAGTCAGGGGTTATCAACAAAATAATGTCAAAGGGTGGAGTTTTCATAAGCACACTAGATCTGGGCTTTGTGTAAACATCTTTTTTTTTTATCACTAATCTGATTTAGTTATTTAAATTCCTGCGACCATAAATACATGAAGCATGTTTTGTTTTTATTTTTCTAAGGTGTTCAACTTCTTTTTTTAACGGAGATCTTTTAGTTTAGTAAATCATTTTATAAACATTGTAAGTATGATCAAATATATTTCAATTATGGTAAATGTTCAATTTCATGAAAGTAGCATTTAAGGAAGAATTGAAAAAAATTAAACAAATGTATCATGCAGTCTGTTAATGCTCTGTGTATGTGTTAGAAATTACTCTTAGCTACTTTGAGACCGAATCTGAGCTCAATATTTGCAAAAATGACCACGTTATAGTAATTTTTGTGTTTGATGAGGTTGATTAGCTGTGATGCACATCTTGATTTGGACTGACTCCAAAAGTTGATCGGTTGCTTTACATCTAATAATAACTTTGTAAAAGGTTTATTGAAATATGTCTGATGATTCAAGAGATACTGTATTTTGCAAACAAACTAACAAAAAATGATTAAAAACATTTGCATGATTACTTTACTTTGAAAGGGTATAGACACAAACACTGAAACAATTCTTTCAACAACTCCAACTGGAAACAGCCTCAGAAGCAAGATTAGCAAAAAAATTGATATACTGTATATAAAATGAATAAACCCAAGGCTGTACTCAAACCAGGTCTCCTACAATCCATCTTTACTCACATTTGACTAAATTAAAGAAAACACGTTTAATTGAGCTCCTTACTGAGCTCCTCAGTGGTCACAAAGGCAGGTTTTCTACTGTCTGAGTTGGGCCTGATCAAGAGCTGTGAGCGAGCAAATTGATTACTGTGCTGGATTTATTAATGATTTACTACTTCTCAGCCAAATGGAACAAGATCAAAGGCCAGATGTGGGCCAGGGGCCACCAGTTGATCACAAATGCAGAAAACTCTCCTTTTATTGGCATCATACTGTAGAATAAGTTCAAGTTCAAGTCAATTTTATTGTCGTTCTCATCAAATGTGGTACATGAGGTGGAACAAAATGATATACTCAGGGTCCCAGTTACTCTCAAAAATATCAAAAATATACATGTAAAGTGTAAAAAGAAAGAGTATATAAGGATCTAAGATATACACTAAGATATACGTTAAACAATGCCCAACCGTACGCTAAAATATCTGATATACATTAAACACAAATAATGTAAAACAATATAGCTTAACAACAGCAACCCGCACATGAGTCTGTGGTGAGAAGATGGGTACAAATGAATACAGCAGCATGAGATAATCAGCAGCGTGAGATCAGCAGCATGAGATAATCAGCAGCACAGATAAGTCACATATCACCAATTAAAGTGGCATTACAGTGATTTTTTTCCCCACAGTGATTATCCTGGTTAGCGATTTATGAGTCCAACAGCTTCAGGGTAGAAGCTGTTCCTCAGTCTAGTGGTTCTACACTTAATGCTCCACAACCTTCTGCCTGAGGGGAGTGGGTTAAAAAGTGTGTGTGCTGGGTGAGTGGCGTCCTTCATGATGCAGGTGGCCCTCTTCTGCATCTAGAGGTATAGATGTCTGTGATGGTGGGGAGGCTGACTCCAACAGTTTTCTGTGCAGCCTTCACCACTCTCTGCAAAGCTTTTCTTTCTGCAGCTGTGCAGCCTCCATGCCACACGTTGATGCTGGAGCACAGGATGCTCTCCACTGCACACCTGTAGAAGGAGGTGAGGACTGAGCTTCCCAGTCCAGCTTCCCAGTACAGCTTCCCAGTCCAGCTCGTCTCAGCCGCCTGAGGAAGTAGAGTCTCTGATGAGCTTTCTTGATCAGGCTGGTGGTGTTGTTGCCCCAGCTGAGGTTGTTTTTCAGGTGTACACCCAAGTACTAGCTGCTGGAGACCACTTCCACCACAGATATGTTCGGGGGGGTGGGGGGGGGGGGGGTGTTGTTCCTTCTGAAATCCATAACCATCTCCTTCGTCTTCCTCATATTGATGTGAAGATTGTTCTTCCTGCTCCAGCTCTCCAGGTGTTCCACCTCCTGTCTGTAGTTGTGACTCATCATTGTTTGTGATGCATCCAATCACCGTTGTATCATCTGCAAACTATACAATATGACAACCTGGATGGGTAGGTGTACAGTCATATATGAGCAGAGTGAACCGGAGGGGGCTCAACACACATCCCTGAGGGGAGCCAGTGCTGAGGGTTATGGTAGAGGAGGAGAAGTTGTGGATCCTGTGTTGTATTTCAGCATAAATTCACTTGAATCATAAAGATATTCTTACTACAAACAATGAGTTGGATATTTACAGTGTAGTTATTACTTAATCTTAAAATTAAATAAGAACAGTTCATGTCCGCATTGCAATGCTACAAAATACAGCTAATAACACCACCACCCTGTAGCGGATGACATCACTACAAATTATTACACATTCCCCATTGAGAATTTAAAATTTCCTAAACTTAGGAGTACGATAGACTCTTTATGAGAAGTCACAAAATCATAGATAAATTATTTTCCAAATCAGATTCCCAAAAGCAAAACTAAAACAAACAAACAAGAACAACTATGGCTCCACACAAGTTTTGAACCTGACACAAATATTCACATCTGTGCTTGTGTGTTGACTAAAAATGAAAAGTGCAAAACTACAAGAGCACTGAAAAATAAATGAGCCGAAAATACAACACAAAGAGAAACAATAATATTTTTAAAAATGTTTGTGTTGTCTGTTTTTTTTTTTGTTTTTTTGTTTTTTGTCTAATCAAAGGTTTTCATTCTGTGTAGAAATATTATGATTTGGGTTTTATTGTTCTAAAAAAATCTCTCAAGTCTTCTGAGTGCAATCTGACAGTTTGTGTTTTTATGCTGTCGTTCTTTGAAATGCCATTTTAGTTCAGTCTGTTTTATTGTTGTAGCTTTTCTTTCTGCCTGTTGTGTTTTTAGCCATCAACAATCTGACAACAAATGAAAAGAGCTGAATATTTGATTTCAAACTCTGAGGTGCGCCATCGCACTTGATCTCGGAAAAATATGTAAACCGTCCCTCCGACGGTTCAGAAATAGGATCGGCATCACTTACTCACACGTGACAACAGCATCTGTGTGTGTTTGCTTGTGTTTGGTGTCCTGCTGTGTGTTGAAAGACCCTTTATTTCTGGATGAATGAAGATAATTGCACACAAGCTTTAGGGGCGAACATCTGCAAACGCCGCTCGCTGATGGTTTAAAACACAGTCACACGCAGAGAGCTTCCTAAAACTAATCTCCCATTGCTATTACCCCTCCATCCCCTCTCAGTCATCCTCACTTTTTTGTGTCTCCCCCCCTGCAGAGGCTGAAGGAGCTGCAGCACAGGGAATTTGTTCGCAATGTGGCCTCGAAATCATGGAAGGACCAGCGCAAACAGGAGAAGGCTCTCAGACGTCTGCACCAGCTCGCACAGCTTCAACAGGAGAGCCAGCGGTGAGTGGGAGGAGGAGTGTGTGTGTACTTGTGTGTGTCTGCAGCACTCTGTGTGTAATGAGACCAGTGGCAGCAGTCCAGGGGGGTTAGAGTGCGTCACATCCAGTCAACGTTTTTTAGATGTGATGGATGCAAGCACAGATGTGAGAGCACTCGCCTGGCCTAGATAGGCCACAGGTGAAGTAAATATAACATAAAGACACGTTCTTGCTGACACGCTGAGAGCTGATGATTTGTGGGTGAAGGAGATGAAGTTTTAGAGGAGAGAGAAGAAGAGCGAGAACAAAAAAAACTTCAACCTAATGATATGAGTGAACATGGCTGATATGAAACTCGCCTCTGGGTTTGCACATCCGCAGCAATCAAAACTAACAAAAAGTGTACTTCATGCAATAATTATCTTGATTGCACCTATTTCCTTTGCAATTAAATGTGTTTTCCTATAATCAGATGACAATACGTGCACGGCATCATTGAGTTCGTACAGAGTTTACTTGTTCTTTCTTTCTTTTCTATTCTCTTTATGGTTTTATTGGTAATTGTTAGCATTGCATTGCTTAATAACTTGTAGCACAGCATTTTAAAAACTATTAAAAGCCTGACATGCTTTGAAGGAACGCTCAGCTCCCACCACCCTTCAAGCCAAAGTTTTAAGATCATCTTGAAAATGACCAAATCTCATGCACAATTAGGATCTTGCATGGTGTGTCAGCAGCTGAACCATGTGTTGTGAATGACTGACAGCACCACATTTGAGCATAACTGTGACAAGGTCATTTTTCCATCAATCTATCCATCCATCCATCCATCCATTATCTTTACCCGCGTCATGAGGGTCATCAGTGCCCATGTCCAGCAGTTACTGTGCGAGAGGCGGAGTACACCCTGGACAGGTCTCCAGTCCATCACAGAGACACATAGAGACAAATGAGACAAACAACCGTTCACTCTCTCACTCACACCTAGAGACAATTTATCAATCAGTCTAACATGTATGATTTTGGTCTGTGGGAGGAAACCAGAATAACAGGAAAAAAAAAAAACACATGCACAGAGAGAACATAATAATAATGATAATAATAATGTCATCACAGTATGTTTCCATACAATGGCGAAATTAGTCTCTGCATTTAACCCATCCACCACCAGGTGGTGCAGTGGGCAGCTATTGAAAGCACCGGGGGGACATTTTGGGGATGAGACGTGCTGCCCAGAGACGCCACGTGATGTGCAGTGACTGGGGATCGAACCTGGGACTTTCGGGTCCCAAGCCGGCTGCCCTGCCTCTACACCATCTCGGCCCCCAACATGCAAACTACACCCAGAAAGGTCCCTAGCCGGGATTCAATCCAGTGACCTTGTCACTGAGAGGCAACAGCTCTACTATCTGTGCCACCGTGCCACACAAGGATGTTTTTGTGTAAGCTAATTATTAGCTGTTGTATTTGTCCTAACTAGAATCCTTTCTACAAGTTTTGCTAAAATCCATTCAGTGAATCATGGGATATTTTGCTAATGGTACAGACAAACAAACACACACAGAAGCAGGCAAAATCATTATGGCTTCACCTTCAGCTTTGGGCAATTATAGTTTCAATCTTGTGAACGTCCATCCGTTATTTTTTACCTGCTTCTTCCATTTTGGGCCACGGGGGTCGCCAATGCCCATGAGCGATGGGTACACCCTGGACAGGTCGCAAGTCCATCACAGGGACGCATTGAGACAATGATAGGCAATAATATTTTCAATCTTGTGAACATAGTGCACAAAATAGTACTTAAGTAAAAGTACAAATAAACAGACAAAAATTTACTCTAGTAAAAGTAGAAGTACCACATTAAGATCTTTACTTAAGTAAAATAAGTAAGTACTTGCTTTTAAAAATACTTAAAGTATTAAATCCCAAAAAGTTCAATCTGGTCCTCTGGACATTCAAAAAAAAAAAAAAAAAAAACAAAGCAAAAAAAAATTGTAGAAATATTTCTTCTCTCATCCGAGAGACATCCTCAGTCTGAGGTGCTGTATTCAGCTCAGTCTTATAAATAGCACCTTCTCAGAGTGGATCAACTAGTTTGCTGCTGACAACCAAAACCAGCTGCTCACATGGTCAAGAAGGACCATCAGCCTAACAATGGATCATTAGCACACTCATGGCTGTTTACTACTCACAGGAGGTTGAGTGATACTAGCAACAACAGCATTGTAAGAGGGGGACAGTTGAACCCAGAGGCCTCCACCCCTGTTTAATGATGGACAATTTCTTTTAACAAAGATGGCCTCCTTTACTCCTCTCTCAAACCATCGTTCCTCTCTGTCCAGGATGTGAACATCTTCATCCTTGAAAGAGTGACCGCTGGCCTGGAGATGAGTGTAGACCGCAGAGTCCTGGCCTGATGATGTTGATCTTCTGTGCTGGGCCATCCTTTTGGCCAGTGGCTGTTTAGTTTCCCCGATGTAAGACTGATCACCCTCCTGACACTGAACAGCATACACAATATGTTTGTGTGTTTGTGCACAACATACGGAATGAAAGATGAGGGGGTATCAGAGAAACTGAGACGTTTATTTTCTAAACTTAACGTCCCAGTGGCTTTTAAACCCCAAAATACATTACGGCAAAGACTGGTTCATCCCAAAGATCCAGTCCCCCGGCACAAACAGAGTAATATTGTGTATGCTGTTCAGTGTCAGGAGGGTGATCAGTCTTACATCGGGGAAACTAAACAGCCACTGGCCAAAAGGACGGCCCAGCACAGAAGATCAACACCATCAGGCCAGGACTCTGCGGTCTACACTCATCTCCAGGCCAGCGGTCACTCTTTCAGGGATGAAGATGTTCACATCCTGGATAGAGAGGAACAATGGTTTGAGAGAGGAGTAAAGGAGGCCATCTTTGTGAAAAGAAATCGTCCATCGTTAAACAGGGGTGGAGGCCTCCGGGTTCAACTGTCCCCCTCTTACAATGCTGTGATTGCTAGTATCACTCAGCCTCCTGTGAATAGTAAACAGCCATCAGTGTGCTAATGATCCATTGTTAGGCTGATGGTCCACCTTGACCATGTGAGCAGCTGGTTTTGGTTGTCAGCAGCAAACTAGGTGATCCACTCTGAGAAGGTGCTATTTATAAGACTGAGCTGAAAACAGCACCTCAGACTGAGGAAGTCTTTTGGATGAAAGACGAAACGTTTCTACAATTTTTTTTTTTTTTTGCTTGTTTTTTTTTTTTTTTTGAATGTCCAGAGGACCAGATTGAACTTTTTGGGATTTTTCTACCTGGATTATTGAGCATGCATCAGGATATTAAAGTATTAAAAGTAAAAGTACTTGCTGAATGTATTACCTAACGCAATGGTCTACAATATCATTAAGTGTACCTACTTTATGTATATTTTCTGTAATACATTAATAGTGTTGAACCATTTTAATGAACAATGCTGCAGATAATACATGTTTTTATTGTGTTTACTCTGTCACACAGTTCAACGTGTACTTGTGATTCTGTGTCAGAATTTCAGGGATGACCTGCAGAGTTAAATGCCATTAAGCAAAATAAGAAAAAGGAATGATTATACCTTTGAAAGTTTTTATTTAACACAAAACAAAACCAATGTGTCATTTTAAACTGCAGTAAACACATTTAAGTAAAATTTGTCTGTCTGAAAAAAGGAGCAATAGACCTAACAAAGGAATATGAACTGATCAGTTCAACTCCAGTTTGTCATCCACTATAGTTAAAATACTGTCTAGTCAACCTTGTAATGGGTCAATAGTGAACAATATTTTTAAATTCCTGACACCATTTTCAAAACTTGGACCCGAGTGTCGAGCCAGTTGGAGACATCTCTTGTCTCCTAACATCCATGAACTGACACTTTTTAATATTGCAGCAATAATTTTTTGTTCAAGTTCAGAAGAAGTTGGTTTTCAAAGTTTTTTGAGTGCTGTGGGTGCTCCCAGCTCAATGACGTGTATATACTAGTATAAACATCATTGGCCCAGCTCTTCGTGAAGGTGGATCTAATGTTACCTTCCCAACTTTGCAGTGATTCAATGGACCAACTCCCCTCTCACAGTTGGTTACTTTCAAACTAACAAACAAATCAAAAAACACAACGTGAATGTAACTTGTAACGAAACTCATTATAGAAATGTAGTGAAGTAGAACGTACAAATAGTTAATGTAAAATGTAGTGGAGTAAAAGTCGAAAGTACCCATGTTTAACTCTACTTAAGTAAAGTACAGATGCATGAAAATTTTACTTAAGTACAGTAACAATGTACTTGTACTTAGTTACATCCAACCACTGCTAATCACACAACAATGAAGAAGCAAGAAATACTTGAAAGGAATTCAAATCTTGTGAAATGGTGTCTTTTATACGGTTAGAAGCATCTTACCTGTTGTAAATACTTTGTAGTTTTTAAACAACCTCAGTTTGAAGATCGAGTTCAATTCTGTCCCGACTGACAGGCGTAAGACGAGTCAGAGAGCAGCCAAGATTCAAAACTCCTAAAACAACTCTAGTCTTAAAACTTTCATTGTACTTAATCTGAAAACTGTTTTATGACCCTTTAGCTTGCCAACACTTTCACATTCCATTACTCAAGCAGAAATCTTGTTTTCTTGCCAGACGTTCCCCAGCTTACAGCAAAGGTGCTACAGCTAGCTGCTGCTGTTGCAGCAATTTACTCGTCGTAAAACTTGTAATAGTCATAATACTTGTAAACAACAATGTAATGTAAAAATTGACAATAAAGTAAGGGTATTTGAAAATAACGAAGCATTGAAAAGCTATAAATTCATACTCTGAGCATGCTTGAATCTTCTTTTTCTGAGTTTCATATTTTACGGTTTCACAACCAGAAGTAGGAAAATGTCCTGAGGCAAATGCTTATGCGCTTTTTTTCCACATGCTTTTAATGCCCCTGCAGTAAGAGCAGCAGCTCGGTGTGCGTCTGTCAGTACCTCATGTCTACGGTGTGCTTTTTCTTTTTTGGTTTGTTTTCAAATATTTTGTTTTTAGAAAAGGCCTCTGGTTCTGTGAGATTCTCAGGTCATTTTACAAGCAGTGCTCTTTTGGAATCTTTCCAAAGATGTTTAGGTTAGTGACAGTGGGGGGTCATCGTGAAAACGTTCAGCTTGCAACGTTTCAAGGAGTCAGCTATGGCTTTTAAGGTGATCCTAAAATCAATACCATGGTGCTGATCCTCAGGTTTTGTTTTTTGTGGTTTTATGTTGCTCATAGAATTTTTGTGCTAGTTCATAAACCGTGTCTATAAGTGTATTATGTGATACTTTTTTGTATCATCAATGATTAACCCATTAAAAATATATAAATCTATCTGGAATTTTCAAAACACAAATATTTTCCATCACCCTTTCCTTTGATTTAACATGTTTTTCTCTTGGACACATTGAATACTTATTCTTGAAGTTTTACAAGAAGACTCTCGATTCATTTGTAGGTGAATAAAAGATTTTCCTCTGTTCAACAGTCTGAAGTTGTCGTCGGCTGATTCTCCTCTTCATGATGTGTCATACATATTCAGCAGGAGACTGATCTGGATTGCAGTCAGGCTGATCAGACACACAGGCTGTGTTTATGAAGCTCTGCTGGTGTAAATTGTGCAGGACTAAGTACGACATAATCCGAGATGTTGCCTCGATTCCATCACATCTCTATAAAATTTCAACATGGTCTTCAGTATCACTGGAATCTTCATGCGTATGCAAGATACATGCAATAGGAACTGACTTTCTGAACCTGTCACTGACACCATCCTGGATAGTGTCTTGTTTTTGGCTTTAAAAGAATTCTACATCCTTTTTATTGTAAAATAACTAACAGGTGGACTCATGTCACCACAACGCATGTGTTCGATGTCTTAGACTCACTAAAATGGCCTTGTATCCACAGAACTAGCAGCTCTTCCACACAGAGTCAACATGAAGCTTCTTCCGTGTGTAATGAGTTTCAGTTTGCATTTCTAGATGCAGCTGTGGAACTGTGTTGCATCAGTTTGGTTTTAATAATACTCCATAGCCGGTCCGGCTGTTCTGATCCTGGTGAAATGACAGTTTGTCCTGCAGTGCTGCCTCAGGGCTCGGAGGTTATGCTCATCTAACAGTGGTCTCCAGTTGATGCCTTTTCACACTAAGACTTTCCCAGATCTCTGAGCTCCTTCACAATATTAATAATTTTTTATGTTTAAAGAGGCTTGAGCATTTTATTTGATGATTTCCTGCAAGAATTTGGCACCAAAACACGGGCAATGACCCATCCACGATGGAAAAAGCAGATCCTTTGTTGGTTCCTGACACCCTCACTACTCACCAGTATATCTGTTGATTCAAGAACCATCCAGAATGATGTTCTTTAAATAACTGAGAAGCTTTACTGCCTTTACTGGCACAGTGCTAAGGAGTGCAAATATCTCCTCACTTGTGAAATCTGCACAAAAAGACACCCCACCTGTCTTCATGATGAAAATTACAGTATTGGTCTGCAAAGACAGACATGTGTGAGTACAGACAATGCAACTCAAGGCAACTCACCTGAAACAGCAACAGCCATGTCACTTAATGTTGCCGGATCTGAACAGACAGTCAGCACTTCTATGATAGTTCCAGTATGGCTGGAACTACCATAATGCAAACTGGTCCATGCATTATTAAACAGTCAGTGCGATGGTCTTCATAGATCAGGATGTAACACATAAGCTGCAGGCAGATGTTTGAAGAGTAAAATTGAAATCGACTACTATGATGGGTAAAAATGCAGTTGTGAGCAGTGCAAGGGTGTCTGATCTCCTAGTGGGAGGTTATCACTCAACTGCAGTCATAAAGCTCCCCACTGCATACTCAAAGGATCACACACAAGCTAACAGAGCACATGCCTACATGTGAAACAACCAAACAGTGGAGTCATTTGTTGCCTATTGTAGATGAGGTCACTCCACTCCTCAATTGTGAAATAAGTCTCCTCATAGGTTATACTTGTCTTAGAGCCCTCACACCTAGACAAGTAATCTCAGGCAAAGATAAGGAGCACAGATTAACAGCACCTTGCAATGAAACAGATGTGGCCAGAAGTCTCAAAACTTGTTAAAACTTTAGCTATGACAGAAAAATTGGTGAAGACATAAAAATTAACTCGTTTCAATGGATTAAAGAATACAAATGAACAAATCACAAAGCTTATGGATAATGAAAAAAAAAAAACCATGTCGACTACTACACACAAAGATGAGCGAGTGTGTGTATGTGTAGGGAGGAGGGGGTTGTAAGAGAAAATGTTCTTAATGTAGCAGAAGGTCCAGTATAAATTTAGCTTCCATGCTCGTTGGTTCTGTGTATTTGTTCCACTCTTAATTCACAACATTCACAAACAACCTTTTAAAAATCTGACCCCTTCTCTCACAACCACTGTTTCTTAATTAAACTATTAATTACCAACGTAGCTGAAAACTTGGCCTTTAAAGTATGTTCCTACAAAGTTTAGAAAGGTTTATCAGTTGGTGTACATTATTGATGACTAAAGACGCGCCAAATAGCTAATTAAGCAACAACAGGATTTGCGTTATGTTAAAGTTTAAGGAATGCAACTTATATAACACATTTCATTCCCATGGTAACTCAACGTGCTTCACAAGAAAAACAAGAAAAAGAAGCAAGACCAAACAACAAGAAAATACATCATTAATAATGCACATACAAAACCAGATTTAATCTAATTTAAAAAAAAAAATGTAAATGATCTCAGTCACAGGCCTGAGAGTAAAAAAAAATACACTTTTTTTTTTTTTTTACAAAAATTTAAAAATATTCACATTTGGAGACATCTTCAAAGCTGTTGGTAATTTGTGCTCTTTGTGTGGCGTAATAGCTAAACGCTGCTTAATCGTGTTTGTTTTGAACTCTGGGCTCCACTATTTGACCTGCGCCTGTAGATCTCAGAGCCCTACTCATTAACATTTCACTCAAATATTCTGCTCCCAAAACATTTAGTAATTTTTACACCAGCAGCAAAACTTCAAAATCAAATCTAACGTCCCTGATTTGGAGCCAATGTAAATATTTTAAAGCTGAGGTAATATGTGCAGATCTCTTAGTTCTAGTAAAACCCAAAAGTTTGCACGTTTGGTACGATTTCAATTTGAAATTGTAGAAACAAAACTAATAAAAACATACAGCAGAGCTACTAGCACACATAGCTCAATATCTAAATAACGAATTAAGTTGGAGAAATGTTTGTGTTTACTAAGGTTTGTTAGATTTGGCAGCTGTCCTAAATTGTTTTCAATAAAAATTAAAAATAAATCAGATGTAGAGGTGCATCCAGTGAGTACTTTGAGAAAGTTTCATTAAAATCAGTTTAGGGATTTCTGAGATGTTTTGCAAACAAACCGACAAATGCACACACAGACACACACAAACCATCTGCTTACACCTTTCAGCAGCAGACGATCTTTATTTTTAGGCTTTCTGAATGTGATTGATAAATAAAACTAACTCAGGATACAAAGACAAACTAAAGTCACATCTTCTTTTCCTCTTTCTGATTTGTTGCAGACTCCCGAGAAGGACTTGTGGACTTAAACGGGCAGTCAGAGCGGTCAGTCAGCAACAAGATGAAGATGTGGACCAAAGAAAACGCTGCTCAGAGGACAATACTAAACCCTATAACCGGCTCCAGCAAATCACAGCTATACGACCCAGAACTCTCAGCCATAAGTCTGAAAAGTCACACCAGCCTCTTTCACAAATACCTCTCACCACAGCTCTAAAAAACTCTCCAATAATGACTGCAGCACCTCACACAGACTTTCCTGCAGTGCGTCCCCAGCCTTGCCACAGCTTGTGTCCCCAGCTGCCCCTCTCTGCACAGGGGCGAGTGGGAGGCCGACTCGGAGTGTCCTTCTGCTTCTCACGCCGAGGGCCCAGGCTGGAGCCTTCTGCCTCCGTCTTCTCTGACCTGGAGGAGGAGGAGAGAGAGAAGAGGGAGCGAATGAGAGAACGAGTGAAGGCAATAATGGAGGACATTGGCAGGGAAATTGGGGACACAGAAGAGAGGAGAACGCCCAGCTCAGACAGTAGCTTACTGCTGCAGCCGATCTCAGGTGAAGCAAAGCGAGAAGAGGAAGAAATGGGAAAAACTGAGGTGGTAAAAGAATGTTTTTCTCCTTCCACTGCAGCCCCTCGTCATCAGAGTCACGACTTACAAGGCCCACAGACGCAGACCCAGGTGACCAAATGTGGCACAACACTCCCACGGGTTTACCTGGACCCCAAACAGACAGACTGCGAGACAGAGAAGTCAGAAACAGACAGAGGGGAGGAGGCAAGTCAGTATCTGTGTGTGTTGGGGAGAGATGGTTCAACCCGAATGAAATGGCCTGTCAGTTTGCTCAAGTTCACCAAGTCTGAACCGCATGTCTCCTTCAGCTGCAACCCACTCTGCTTGAGTGTTCAACTGCCAGAACAGCTCACCGGGGAGCCACAGGAGTCACAACAAAATCAGCTGCGCACTCTTTCAGGTGTGCCAACTGCTCCTACACCAGACGCTCGCTCCGGCTCACTAAGACGAGCGAGACGAGCGAGACGTGAGCTGAGAGCGCGTAGACAGAAGAAGCATGATGAGGTTTTAAAGCAGGAGCAACGTATCAGCGTGGAGACAGAAGCGCATCTGCTCCTCGACGACAAAAACCTTCCACCGTCGGCAGCAAGATCGCAAAAAGTGGGATGCGTAAGAAAGGAGAACTGCGAGAGGGCAGCCTCCCATCCATCTGACCCCGCTCTGAGTGACAGCTCTGACACAAACTCCCAGAATCCTCCGGGAGGGAGATTAGAGGGTGCAAGCGGGATCAGGAAGAGAGCCATCACAGGCCTGAGCTGTAAATTAGAGTCTGTCACCCAGCCTGGCATGCAGGGGACGTGCATCAGCCTGTCCAGGTGTGAATGTGGGAGTGAGACAAAATGTGAGTGTGCCAGAGCTCCACAGCCACATGTGGGCGTCCCAAAAGTGTCACACAAACAGAGGAAGAGCAACACAAAGAAGCTGGTGAAAAAGAAGAAGAAGGCGGCTAAGAAGGAAAAGGCCTCAAACAAGCGCCAATCAGCAAAGTGCAGAGTAAGGAGTGTTGTCTCCACAGTTTGCAGCGCAGGACGAGAGAGAGGAGAAGCTGAAGGGAGGTGGGGGAAGAGAAGGAGGAGAAGAGAGATGAGGGAGCATGGAGAAGGCAGCGACTGTCTCCTGGGGGGATGTGAGACTGAGCCAGTATCTGTCTCTGTCAGAAAGAGGAGGCCTCATAGGAGGCACAGCGCTGAATTCAAGGCGCAGGCAGGCAGCGAGCAGGCAGAACACGCTGCCATCGACTCCCAGTTCAGCAGACGCACAGCAGACAGAGATATGGAGGGGGGGAGGCAGCAAGACGGAGGGGTGGCAACTTTTCCCTGGCGGTCTCTCGTCTCTGTTCGCGCCTTCTCACCAGGACGTAACTCTAAGCTGTTTTGGGAAAGGGGTCACCATAGCAACCCCAGGAGTTTCATTGACTGCTGTTACCCTGACAACAGCTGTGGTAGCGGCCCAGCAAAAAAGAGAAAATTCCTCCGCGGGGACAGGAAATTCATTCATGGAGACGGGTACAGCGAAGTCTGGGAGAGTAATGGAAGGAAAATGTTGGGACGCCTGGGCCACAAAGACAGAGGACTGATGTGGGAGTGGGCAAGAGCTGGAGTTGAGGAGAGAGGCTGGTCAAGGACTGGCTGGAGAAACAGGGCAACAGAGTGGGATCATGCGGCAAAGTTCAGCCCAAGTCCCAAAGGCTTGGGAAGGAGACACGGATGCTTTAATGTAGAGGATGCAGACTGGGACAGGTGGACATGGGGCAGCAGCGATAGCTGGGAAGATCTGGGAGTATGCCCGTCTATTTCAAGCTCCAAGACTTGTGCTGATGGCAGAGACACGTGGAGGTGTGCAAGCACCAGACGCTCGAGTTCAAGACACTTCTCGAGCCCTGAGTGGTGGACGAGCCGACAGCTGCGCAGCTGCCAGACCACCATGGGCAACCAGGGCAGCAGGTGCCACAGCCCACGCTCATGCAGTCCCTGCAGCAGCACCAGTATGTCTGAGCTGAGCTGTGAGTGGAGCAAAAGCAGCACCTGCTCAGGAGACACAGTGGATAGGTTGATTGCTGGCTCCAGCAGGACATCAGCAGCAGCTGCAGAAACGTCTCAGGAAGCAAGAAAGCACAGCGGCCCCGTGTCCACACCACCCTTTTGCTCTCGTTCTTCTCTCCAAAATTCAACACTAAAAGTCTCAAGCCTGAACGCAAATCTCGGCAACAGAAGTTCTGCACAGCTAAACAACACAAGTCCACAGTCAGAGCGTGTCCACGAACAGTCTGTTTGTCTCACAACGAGCAGCTCAGGCACAGCTCCGCCGCAAAAAACAGCCAGGGTGATGCTTTTACCGCTTATCGGAAAACTTCCCGCAATCCAGAGAAAGGCGAGAAGAGAAAAGGGCCTGCAAAAGAAAGGTTTAGAAGCTGAGCGAGAGGAGGAAGCTAAGAGCTGCATGGAGGACGCTGGCACGGCTGTTGACAGTCAAAAACGTCTTCTGAACATTGCTGAGTCAAATCCAAGCAGGTCCCCAAATCTCTGCCTGCCACAGATTAGGACTGATGACAAACAGGCAGGTGGAGAGACAGCTGCACCAATCAGCTTTTCGGCTGAGGAGATGGAGAAATATCGCGTCCTGCAAGAGCAGGCGAGAAAGCACATGCAGAAAATCCTGGAAAACACACTGGAAAGTGCAAATCCGCACACAGAGACCAAATACACACACGAGCCACACACAAGCAGTTATGTGACGTCTGATGAACAGTTCAAACCTGCACCTTTGCACAGCCCTGTTCAAACTCAAATAATCCATCCAGACATGTTGCAAGTCCAACACACCTTCCATGTTAGTGTCCCTGTGCAACATGTAACCCCCCATGAGAGATTTACACCACCTGTGGCTCTGGGAGTCCCCAACCTCCCCCCTCTTCCACCATCTCCACCCCTGTCAAATCTTCATATCATTTTACAACAAGCAGCTCTCTCCATACCCCACCGCGTGCCTTCCACTTCCAGCTCACCCCCGTCTCCTGCCATTCACTCACCGTCACCCCCCCGCCTGCCGTCCCTGCCTCATCCTCTCCACCTCACACCCCTCTCCATCTCCTCTCTGTTTCCATCCATCCTCCTCTCCCATCATCCCATCCCACTCCTGGCCCAGTCCCTGCACGCGTCCCCCCTCACTCCGCTCTCCCCACTAGCCCTACAACCTTTGAACTCACAGCCTTTCCTGGACACATCATGGCCAGTCAGGTTCCAACAGAAGGCAATATGAATTTTATAGAGTGGCTGCCACGTTTATCAGTTTTTCTTGGCAGTGCTGTCCAGTGAAAAAAAACATGAGGGAACGGTTGACAAAAAAAAGCCTGTTTTTAAAAATATATATAAATAAATCAGGGCTGTGTCAGTGCTTTACTGGGATCAGCTCCAACTCTTATCCGCATTTGCCTTCTCGATCACTCCCATGCGTGCACACACACACAAACGGCCCAACTACTGGCTGTTTTCAAAAGGAAAATTTGTTTCTCCATTTAGCCTCTGCTGTGCTGCAGCTGACAGCGAGGATGCAGACTTTGATCCTTTGCATTCACCATCGTTCCTCATTCAGGAGCAGAAGAAAGGGAAAGGTACACCTGCTAGTCAAAGACAGGCTCGGGCTGGTGTCGTCCTCTCTCTTTTCCTTCCGAGCCACAGGCAGACCAGCTGCCTTTTGAAGTACCCTTCAAGCCAGCGACAGGGAAACAAGGGAAAGTAATAATACTCCTCGCTTATCTCCATTTCATACAAGTCTATCTGAGTAAGGCTGTGACATTCAGCCAACGCAGATAACATACCAAGGAGCAGGGCAGCAGGCAGAGCCATTTATACTTCATATATACTGTGTGTTTCTGATCAGACACAAATTAAAATTACACTTCTTTTAATAAACACATAGGGTTTATGTGTGTCTAATTTAGAAAATTATATTGGAAACATTTGAATAAAATGTGGATGTAGCATCCATGATCTTGACTTCAATGATAAATGTTCATTTGACATTTAGTTTGAGTTAAGTCTCGTTTCTTTTTGCCACACTGCATTTAACAAATCAGTTGTTCAAATGGTAATGAATGGATCTGATATGTTATAATAAAGTGCAAGTGACAATAAAGGGATTTTAATGCCTTCTCTTCTGTCTGACTGTTAATTATAAAAAATATTCCAACAAGGTCTAAGTAGGCATAAATACTCAGGATAAGGCCCTCTAAAAATGTGGTGCAGCATTCTTAACAGTTTTAAATCAGCAGCTACGCTTGAGGTCACTCATCATGGACATGAATGACATTTTCATTTGAATTTACAGTGGCATGATTATACAAGATACAACTTTAATCTACCGCACAGTGTTGCCATTGGCCAACATAATGCTTATTTTTAAGAAATTCCTATTTAAAGAACAATTTATACACTGATTGGTCTTTTAATTGAAGGTGAGGCACAGTTTTGATGGTTTGAATGCATCACAATATTTAAACCCACAAGAGTCTGACTGATGATGAGTCGTGTAAAAAAAAAAAAGTCCACAAAACAGATTTATCCCATTTATTTTTACATTTGCACCATTTAAAAATTAACAAGACAGTAAATGATAAGTTATTACTTTTTTGTACTGTGTTTTTATCATTTTGTGCTTTTTTTATTTAATAAAGTGTGTATGTTGCCAAATGGCAACATTGTACAGTTATGGAACAATGTCAGTGAGAAGAACAAGTTTCCTTAGTTACTAAATATTAAAAGTCTTTGCACAAAATAGGCGAACAACAGATAAATGTATGTTTAAAAGGACATATCATATCTATTTATCCATCTATTCATTGATTGTTACTTCTTCCTGAATAAAGTTGGGAGCTGGAGATTATTCTAGTGTGCTTTGGATGAATGCAGGGTACACCTGGACAGGTCTCCAGTCCATCGCAGCACCACATGGAGACAAAAAGACACAAAACACAGAAACTCACTCCTAGGGACCATTACAATCTTCATTCAGTCTGAGTGTGCATGTTTTTGTACTGTGAGAGGAAGCCGGGATACTCGAAGTAAACTCACTCAAACATGCACGTAAACTCAGCACAGAAAGACCTCGACCTCGAACCCGGGATCTTCTTACTGTGAGGCAACAGGGCTGACCACAAAACCAGGGATAGATATATGTTGTTGTTTTTCTTTTTTTGGAATCATCTATTTGTGCTTCTGTTTAGAGCTTGAACCCAATAATTTTCTATGGCAAGGCTCAATAAAGGGCTGAGAACAGGCACAGGTATATTCTACCTGACAAAAGTTACAGTGAGTTAGAGGTGGGTCTTAAAGGCTTCTAAATGTGTGTTTAGAAAATTAATTCTAAGATTTTATAGTAAACAAAAAAGAATTAAATCAATTTGGGATGGACTTGTGACCTGTCCTGGGAGCACCCTGCCTCTCTCATAGTGACTGGAGATAGACACCAGCTGCCCCTGACCCAGAAAGAAGTGGGTAAAGATAATGGATAGATGGATAAAAGTTGAGTGGTGTAATGTGAAACTCTTATTGCACAGCACAGGAATTATGAATTTAATGATAAATATGAAATTGGTTGCTGCACAGTTGCCACAAGGCAATGCACCACAAAATACACCACAAAAAGATTTTTATAATGTATATTTTTAACATGAGTGAGTTGACAGTTTATTTTAGGTCAAATAAAGAAATACCAGGATAATATTTTTCCTATGTTGTTACAAAAATGTGTGAAGTAGAAGGTTAAGGATATTTAAAACCAAGAGCTGGGTGCACACTTGTGAATTTGTTGGGGATTTTCTATAATCCACACAGGGCCAACAAAATAATAATAATAACAATAATAATATTAATAATTAATTAATTACTATTAAAAAAAATAATGCTGCAAATTCAACATTTTTTTTACTTGACAAGGCCAAAGCCAATTCATCCATTATCCTTACCCGCTTCGTCCTTTTCGGGTTGCAGGGGTCACTGGTGCCCATGTCCAGCCATCACTGTGCGAGAGGCGAACATGTCTCCAGTCCATCGCAGGGACACATAGAGACAAACGAGACAAACAACCATTCACTCTCTCACTAGAGACTATTTAGAGTTACCAATCATGCTAACATGCATTTTTTTGGTATGTGGGAGGTAACCGGACTACCCGGAGAAAACCCACATACGCACGGAGAGAACATGCAAACTCCACCCAGAAAGGTCCCGGGGTGGGATTTGAACCGGGTCGACCTGCCTGCTGACAGGCGGCAGCTCTACCAACTGCGCCACTGTTCTACCCCGTTTTTATTTTCAAACTTAAACAAACGTTAGTTGAAAAGCAACGATTGGACTGATCAATTCTCAGAACAATGAAAAGTTCAGGGAATTTAAAGAAGTGCTACGAAGGTGAGGAATCTGGTTAGGATGTTCAAAAACAACCCACTGAGGCTCAAGTCCGTCATAAACTAAAAACTACTGGAACACCAATGTCACTGTCCCCGGTGAAGCACAGCTTACATCTCCGTGGACTGAGAGAGGTCTAATTAAGGAAGAAGTTCCTACTCATGACACCTTTAAGCTCGACGAAAGTTTGCAGGTTTCCACATTTATAAGCCAAATGTCTTCTGGAAAAAGGCTTCATGGTCAACTGAGACAAAGATTGAGTAATTTGGGCACACTGACAAGAACTATTTTTGGAGGAGTCAGGGTGTACTGCAACTACCATTCGTACACATTCTGATGTTTCCGATCTTCCTAAAGATTATTGTAAAATACTATTTCATCAAAAGTACGTATGCCTTTTTTATTCTAATGAAAACAGACTACTCTTTAAAAAGTACACATTTTCAAGCGTTATCTGTTCTTTTATTGCCAAACACTTAAGTCATTTAGTCCAAAATCACATTCATCCAGCCCCATTTCAAGCTGCTTTAGAGTAGCAGAAAATGCATTAAGCAGTGAAAAAAGCCCAACCTTTTTGCATCATTAATAAAACAGATGAGTTGCTTTCTTGCATTTCTTGCCAAGGGTTATGGATGATGGTAACTGTTGCTATGCATTCAAGCCTGGTAATAAAGCTTCTTGCCAAATAGTTGATAGCTGCAGCGGCTGGCGCTCGGGGAACAGGACACCGCAGAGAACAGAGCGGCATCCAGATGGTCTATGGACTCAGACTACCCAGAGTGCTTTGAGAAATTGAATTGATTTGCCCTCAGTGATATCAGAGAACACAGCCCCGCACTAGGGGGCTGCAGTGGGGGGTGACGTTAATACAGACAAAAAGACAAGACACAAAATGTATACTCCCTGTCCTGAGGTACCGTCTCGAAGTATAAGTCAGCTCTTGCAGAGGCTCAGTAATTAGAGCACAAGTGTACCTTCTCCTCCTTGTGACCCTTTATCTTTTGTTCGTGTGTGTGTTTAGGGATGTGAGAAACAGAGCATCACTATCTTTCTCCACAGGACAGAAGATCAAACAGACTGTTTGAAACATAGAGCAGCAATAATTAGCAGCTGTTACAGCATCAGACCTCTCTATCTCTACCTCTCGTTCTCTGACACACACACACACTCTGAATGCTCAGTTCGTCTCCAAGTGAAACTCGATTGTGCTGGAACTTCTCGCTCCTCTAAAACTGATAATGAGGATGATACAAAACAAGCTCAGTCCCCCACTTTTTCCCTCATATTCTCTGCACTTCATAAGAATTCAAATCCCTGCTATAGTTTAATGGCAGGCATAAAGACAGTCACATGTGCTAAAAAGCAACAGAATTCCTATTTGAATAGCCTCGTTGGTCAGAGTGGGGCTAATGGAGTGCTGCTGTCTTAAAGCAACTCCAATCTCAAATGTTTCATAGCTGTATAAACAAACATTATTTATGAAATGGTTACACTGCTGTCAGTTTTATTTTACATGGATATTTGGACAAAAATGTGACGATTTTCCTGCCACAAGTGCAAAACTGCTGCTTCTACTGATGCTTATAAATAACCATCAAGTTTAGATAATAAAAGAAACATTGTAATGTATACCAGAGTGCGGTGTAAAGATTTACAAAGCATCATGAACTACTGCAACGTTTTTGAAAATGGAATTGGGATAAACAGCAGTGTCCTTTAGTCTTAGCCCTGCTCAGACTAGCCATAGTCAGACGGCTCAGAATTAAACTTTCTCCAAACTGAAGCTGTTCAAAGAGCCATATCGACATAACTTAAAATGTTGTTTATAACCTTTCCACAGAACTTCACTTCAAAAGATCTGTTTTCAGAGGGAGTCATAGCAATTAAACATCCATCCATCCATTATCTTTCGCTTGTTCTGAAGTCGGGTCGTGGGAGCAGCAGCTTG